ATTTAAATAATCTTTTTAGTAAAAGCTTTAAAATGAATAAATGCACACAACTTGTGCTTACAAATAAAATTTTCGTAGATTGCGAGATCTCAGTAAAATTTAAATAAAATCTGTGCTGGAGATCACAATGCAAACAGCATAAGAAGCGTTGGGACAACTAATAAGCGCGCGATTTGACTGCGGCTAGCAAGTGGCTAAGGCCGGATAACTAATTCTCAAAGCTGTTGTGAGTTCGTTTGTTTTGGTTTATGTGATTACGGCAAAGCATCGAGGGCTATCTGCATAAGGGAAAGAATGCTTTCGTGGAGGACTTTTTAAAGGAAACTAGCTCGTATACATGTTACACATGGGGAAAACCACAAAAACGCCCATTCAGCCAGCCCGTTTGCGCGATTCGAACCTCGGAGCTAAATACCAGTGTTCAGAGACTTCACCGCTCGGTCGCTGTTGGGCCCAGAGCTGCGTGAGAGAAAAGTGTAAATTATATCTATTCATATGATGGAGAATTTGAGCTTACATATACAGTGCTCGCATCTTGATGAAATCCCTTCCGTTCCAATCGTTTTTGAGTTCAATAAGCGGTTGAGTTTAATATACGGCGATTTGTGTATTGCAAAGAGATTTCAGTTTTAAACTTTTCAAGTAAAATAGTAACTAGCATTAATCGCAAAGTAATAATTAACTAAAAATTAATATTAAAAGTAAAATTGTGTACAATTTTGAAATTAATTTTCTAAATTTTTATAAAAATAGTTTTATAATTATATTCTTGTCGAAATTTTATCTCTTACTAACAAATATTCTATTTGTGTTTGTTTCATATTGTTCCACAACCGTTTTTCGATCGCATTCTCAGTTTCACAAAACTGCAGAATTGATTGAATCACTTTCGCATGTCATCACTTCCGCTATCAATTTTTTGAAGTTCTTTTAACTCTTTCATAGTAATTTTTTGCACCCCTTCTCTTAATATTGTGAATCGACAACTATTCTAAAAATGAATCCTATGATTTCCATCACTGATATCTGAAATATTAGTAATTCTATTGAGACTTCTCCTGTGTAAAAGCTACCTTTTCGATAACAGTTTTTAGATGATTTTGAAAGATTAACCTCCTGCATTGACTATAATATGCATAGCCTCTAGCAGACATATCGACTGCTTATCTCCTTCAAAGTGCTTTCATTTTCACAAAATTCAATTCTTTTCATAACTTAACATCTTTTTTGTAATAACATTTCAAAGCTTTTATAATACGCTAAACATAAAGGTTGAATGTTATAAGTTGTATTTGAAGGAAGAGACACTAATATTTTTCAAAAATACATGTGTGTACTGCACATTTATCGTTAAACTTATATTTTCATTTTTCAGCTTGCTATCCCATTTCAAAAGAAAATCAGTAAAAGTATCATTTGCATTCTCGAGCTCTTGTTGTTATGGTAAGTTAGAAATAAATTCTTGATTGATTTCAAACGTCGAGGTTTTTGTGCTTCTGAGCTATCTTCTTAATTTTTGTGTACTTATTGCACGTTAATAAAACAGTAATTTATTCCTTCAGTTTCTTAAACAAACTGCTGTTTCCCTTTTAGATATTAATGTGTGTTTCGGCAATGTTCTGCAATATAAACTTCAGTTTCGTGTGTATTATAAACTTCGAGTGACTTGCATTCCTTTAGCAGTCAACTAAAACGTTTTTTTTATCCAGTTATCAGCTGCATGATAATTCGCTTCTTCCTTCTCACCATGCAATTCCCGATTAATAAGGGTGGATATCTCTTTCTCCAACATGGAAGCCAACTTCTCAGGTGATACAAAGTTCTCTCCTAGCATTTAGCAAATTAGTGAAAAAAGCTCTAGAAATAGAAATATATTTTAGTTTTATAGCTTGAAACCATTTTAGAAAAGTAACATCAAAGTCTCTCGATTTTCTGTCTCTTTTGATCTTCCTTCGGACATTTGCATTTTTTCTAGTTCTTCATTAGTTATAACTCCTTTAAGTAAATTACTCTATGCTATCTTAGAAATCCCCAGTTTAAATGTAGTTTTTCTCTGGCTGAAATTACCAAGAACATTAACAATTTATTCTTTTCTTTCAGGCGTAAATCGTTTCGCTTGGCATTTCGACAAAAGCAGACAAAATGCTTTTAAAAAAGTGCTTCTTCAAGTAATTTACTTAAATTCCAAATTTTACTTTTCTAGCCAGCAGAAAGATTGCCGTTTTTCTGCCATTTTATAATTAAAAAGCGCTTCATATTTACAAGAATGACCAGTGCTTTCCTTGCTTTTTCTTCAGCTTATATTTATCATTTTCTTTCCGTTCTAAAACTCTTTATGTAAGATAATGCTTAGAAGCATTTCGTGAACTCTCTGTAAATATAATGTATCTGTCTCAAGCGGAGGATTTTGAATATGGAAACCTTAAAAAGATGGGATATAGAAGTTGCACTTTAACCTCTTATCAGCTGGTATTCGAGAAGAAGCCCTCACTCATTCGTCATGCTTTTAGGGAACTATTTTGTTTTAATCTTAAGATACGGAAATTCTGCCGCTCTGAGGTCCAATGAGGACAAAACAAATTCTGAAAACAGTGTCTTGTAAGTACAGGGACGGTGAGGTAGAAACATTTGAACAAATCGTTTCATTGAAACATTACTTACCTGAATGATAAATCGTCAGTGCACAAATACGTTAAATGCATGAACATGAAAAGGTTTGGTAGGTACAAGTAGGATTCTGACACTGAAGAATCAGTATTTTGCCCATCTGAGTTTAATAAGCGTCTGAGTGTTTTAAGCGTCTGATTTTATTAACCAGTGAGTTTAATAAGATTACTCCTATAAAAAGAAGTCTGCGGCAGCATAGTCCAGCGAACTGAATGAAAACTACCAAACGTCACTAAAGCGCGAGAGAAGTCGCGCAGGGAAAGCAGCAGAACTTTCTGTGAGGTTATTTTTTACAAGTCTCCACTCCTATTTTACTACTTCCCTGCAGTAAAAATGCAGTTCTTCAGGAGACTACGGATGCTACGAGAGACACTCTATATCGTGCCTGGAGCACCTGGGAGATGGCAGCACTGCTTTGATTATCAGGGAGGCCACCTGCAAGACTGGTATGACGTTGTATTGAAACTGTGAGGCCTCTTTCAAGACACTGATTACTCATCCTCATAAAGTTCTGTTTCTTTCTGTTTATAATAAATTTATTATCCTACATTGAAAATAGGTAACATTAAATACCGTAACCTATGTTACCATACCCGGTACAGAATCACTTGGTTTCTGTCTTCTAAACTTCTCGGCCTTGAATTTAATCTTTTCGCATTTTTTATTGCCATTGTCTGCTGAACATCGAAATCATATGCGCCCTTTATGCGTAAAAGTTATGCATTATCCAATTACAGCAATAATAAGAGCCCCGAAATCCAGGCGAGAAAAGGCACCGTATATCTGAAATTGTATTTCTATTGCTCATTTGGCGGAGGTCAGCTACAACACTGTAGGTTACATGCTTACACTGAATGACACTAAGATTATATTCAAAATAATATACAAAAGAATATAGTAACATACAAAAGTAATGAAAATAAGCTATGAAATTCCATAGAATTCACATACTAGAACACACCATGTTATGTGCATTACGTATATACAGTCAATATATAGATGCGTGAGTGAATTAACATATTCGCTTCCTGATTATGCATGAAGTGTTAAATTAGTGTGGGACAAATATAAAAAAATCATATTCAAGACGTTAAACATCAGTTCTCATGTCCATGAGACAAGTCACATCATTCCATATGTCTTCAGTGGTACAGCACCCATTAGCAAATTATCTTCTTAGGAAGTACTGTTATACTAAAAAAATGAATGCCGTAATCAATTGTTGTGGCTTGAGTGATTTTATTACGAAGCACAACACTATTCTTCTTCGTACTGGGTTTAGTTTGCTTTGGTTTGACTTATTTGATTACGGCAAACTCACTGGGGCTATCTCCCTAAGTGGAAGGATGCCTTCGTGAAGGGTATCCTTTCTCGTATTCTAAGGGAAACTCGCTCATCCGTTGGTGGGTCCTCCATAAGAGAGAGCACATTATTTAGCACAGTTGATATACCGTACTGCTATTCACGAACTGTTACTTTTTAAAATAAAAAAAGCAGAATATTCGGTCTCCAAAGTTAAAAAGACAGAAAAGTTCAAACCAAATTGTAATTATTAATACAAGTGAAAAAATGGTTTCTGCAAATAAATTTAAAATTATGTTTCATTTCATTCCATTCAAACATTTACCTCTCTGATTTCATTTCCAATTGAAATTCTATTAACTTTTCATATTTTCTATTCCATTGCCATCTAGATAGAGAAGAAATATGGCTATTATTTGACTACTATTTGTATAAGTAATACAATATATGATCTTCTTTGGCTTGTTCCCAGATGGGAACATCCCACTCCATCTAGTTCATACATACCCTCTACCTAATAAACTCATATGCACTGCACATAATAAATCTAACTCTAGAATTTCATTAAGTAATTAGCAAGTAATTTTATTTTGAACTTATAATTTCCTTAGATTTTTTCTCTATGCTGCAAATCGAAAAATTTAAAAAAGCAGAAAGCGGCAAAAACACCTGTTTACCATCTATTTAACTATAAATAAGGCTATATTACTTTAGCGTGGAAACATAATTTATTATAAATATCTATTGCAAATGAAATAAACGAATTATAACGGAAAACATGAAAAAAATAGTTAGTTTTATAATATAAATATTATCAGCTGGGAGAACTTACAGGTAAACAGTCAGGAAACATTGTGCATAAAAGGGTAAGAGTACAATAAACGAAGTGTTTACGCTGGTATTTCTAACTTCTACTATTCTGCTGAACATTCCTGGCTATTTCTTATCTCTACGATACTATAGAGATTAGTTAGATATAAAAAGGCTTTCATATCTAATCTATAAAAAGACAGTAGCTTCTAGTTCTTACTCGGGGCGTTGTAGTATGATGCAGGATCTCAACAATGGAGAGCTTCAAAAAAGATCTCAAGAGAAAGGAATTAATTCCGATAAAAATTCTTATGTTTCTGATATATGGAGGTATGAGGTTAACTTTTTTTATTTTATGTGTATTCATGTTTCATTTGTAGGTCGGCACAGTTAGAATTAGAATTTTACTTATTTATTTATTCGAAAATGTTCAGTGTGTTTTCTTATTTATGTAGATCTTCGAGTGCAAATAGTCTGTGATAAAAATTATCGGAAATTTATTCCATAAACAAACAAACGTTTGTAAGTTTTGAACAAAACATTTCTTACTTTTTCACATCAATAAAGTTTGTTTTTATCTAGCACATTCTTTATTCTATTTTTTACTGTGATATACAATTAAATTTGGAATGTTGCATCTTTTAAAATACTTTAAGATTTCAATATTAACTTTAAATTGGAATTAAGTATTTTATTTAATAAATTACGTTTTTGCTTACATAAACTGTTGTATTATTGCAGTATTTTAAGTGAGCAGATTAATATTTTAAGCATTTCATTTGTTTCCAGTTGACATCTAAATATTTTTGTACAATAGCTAATATAACTATTCCTTATTACTTTTTGCGAAACAAGTACGACCTCAAACTGTGAAGCTGAATATGGATTCTTTCTTGTAATTAATACCCTAGAAATTCGAGTCTGGAACCCGACTAGTCTACTTTACACTATTAAATGGTAATATACGTATATAATACGGAATATAATATACGGAATAATACGGTATGAAATATAATCCCCTATGAATGTATTTATTTATTCTAAAGTAACAATCCGTTAACAAAAACAAACAAACAAGAAAAGCAAACCGTGCGCAAAGAATACTGGCAAATGCTGCATTAAATTGCGCTTGTCCAAACAATAAAAATATTATTTTACAAGAAAGTACTGTGTGATTATCTCTCTTAAAAAATATCTACGAAAGAGATTATTCCCAGTCTAGCCATAACCGTAGCTCTTCCTCCGGTAGAGCATACCAAAGTAATATAAAATACTAGCTATAACTTATTCTACAGAGCAACGAGTTATATTTTACACCTGCTGTACATAATGCTTGATTGTATATATTTCATTTTGCAATTCAGCTCTATGACTTTATACTATGATGCAGGGTCATTCTTGTCAACCATATCAGTTTCATGAATTGTTAAACATGTTCACTAGTAGCTCGTTTCGAATGGGGGAAGGGATGAATATTCTTTTGCTTTATTCCATTAACTTTCATAACTAAACTATAATATATAAAGTATTCTAGTTTCTAGAGAATTCTTTCTTTTCTTATAGTCCTAAAATTTACTTTTCCGGGTGAGTGAAGTAATATAATTGAATATATTTAATGAAACGCAACTGTCAAATTTTAAAATTTACCTCTACCCTTATCAATAACCAAATGCTTGCATTGACAGTTTTAAGGGAGTTTAATGTACGCTACTTCGCTTCTATGGAAGACCTACATTAGTACTTTTAACGGCTTGCAAAAGGTCTCTGAAGAAACTTTCTGCTTGTAAAAGAGCATATAGGTTTAAGGTAATCTATTAGGATACTTTTAAAGTTAATAAAACCGATACGGTATAGAAAAGTATCTATCTAAGCGGACAAGCGCGTCGTCATATTTCAAGTCTTTCACATTAACCGGAGATAAAAGACGATCTTCTAGATAAACATATGGAGAAACCCGGTGAAGGGATGACCTGATAGATATAAACGACAGTTCTCTCTCTCATGTACCCTAGACTCCAGCATGTTCCTCTCTACAATATCTCCGACGCAGATTAAAATTCCATTTAGCTTAATTATAGAGGCCTTCCCTGAATCCTCATTTTTTGATAGTCTGAAGGAAGTTGTTGACAAGGATAATTCTCTTCGGATGAATGGTTTCGTCATTTAGCAGGAAGTTAAAACTAACAACCTCAAGAAAATGCAAGGCATTGGGCTGCAGGACTCTTTCTTAGCCTAGAGAAGTGATTCTTAAAATGTGGTCACAAGGTTCCCGAGAGGTATAATTCAGGGGGCTATGAAAGGATTTCAGACCAAAACTTGATTTCGGTATAATTTCATTGCTGACAATTTTATGGTCAAAGAATTCGCGCAATCCAAACTTTAACTTCTTTGAAGAGGATGACTTGCGAGAATTATAATGCTACAGTTCTTGACACTGTAACTATAGGATAAGTTTTCTTATTTTAGTTTCTCTTTTAAGCAATATATCTGTACAAAAAGACCTTTCATAAACATACGTATAAATGAACCAAAAACAGAAATGTGTCTAATGTTCAATCAGATTTAAGCATACACTTTCAACCATCGGATGAAGCACTGCACATTTTACGGCAAAGGAACAAAATCATTTTGCGGTTTCCTTGCTATAAGACACAGTTTGTTAATATTACTCTCTACCCGAAGAAGACAACAGTAAATATACTTAATTTTCATAAAACTTGTTGTGAATGCAACATTTTTAATTCTTAACAACACTAATGTTTTCAAAGTTTGCAAACTAAATTAGAAATTTTGGTAATTTATGTAATGAAGTATAAGTAGCTTGTATACTTTATTTTCACTTAATCGTTAGGAGTTCAGCAAAATGAACACCATATGAAAGTTCTCGTTGAACTCTTTCACTTTGTAATAAACTAAAGTTTAATAATTATCACTGAACATTCAGTGTTTCTCAATTGCCAGTCCACAAACACTATACGCCGATTCTTCTAATTGCTTAAGCTTCACAATCTTGTATATATGAAGATTATGCCAGTAGTCCAAATTACTAACCTTACAGATTCTTTATAAAACACTGAAATATTTTACCAGTCCAACGAGTAAATCGTGTTAAGAAACATTACTCTAGAACATATGGAAGTGTGTCGGCTGTTTAACACTATCCCGGTTCGCACAAATAAACTGCCACCTCCAAAGGAATGTTGTTCCTTTTGATTTGGTGGGAGATGATGTATTTCTGTTCCTGTCCGAGTAAATTGATAATGGTTATCCCTTTAGAAGCTCATTGAAGTCAGTCATCTTCATTCCATGAATGATGTTGTCTACAGAAGTTCAAATGAGATAGCTATACTGCGAGAATACGTCTTTTGACACCCAGGCCAACATCACCACGTCTTTGATATATGATTTATCTGACTGCATTTCTGCGTTTGATTGCGAAGGGCTGTGGAGAGAGCTGCCTGAACATATGCATCCGAATAGCTAATAAATTAAATATCATTCGTCCCTTGCCGTTTTACATCTTAGGCGTACTTGGTCAGATAGATCTTTTTGACACGCAAGAAGATCCGCCGCTACAACACTGACTACGAGAAAAATATACAAATCCTCTGTAATTTGAGCATGGAACTGATGATCCTCAAGACGACCCAGTCCTTTATAACAGAACTGATCAGAAACAAGGGTATGTGACATGCAGAATATATGAGTTAAAAACCGTAGAGTACTCCTTGAATTCACTTTTAACGAAAATCGACTGGTTTGCATTTCAGTGAGATGTTCAATGGGTACGTCTCAATTTTTGACTTTCCGATATGCTATCTAAAAGCTTCTAAGAAAGATTTGCATATATCATAAAATTTTTGTGGCCTTTTTTTTCACCAGTTGTAACGAAGCGGCAAAACATGTTCTTCGGACTTAAATTTTGGAAATCTGTGTACATATATATGGATGCATGTACGTAAATACGAAACTGTACAACCATTTTACCTTTTATTAGAATAAAATGTTATCTGAGTATCAAGAAAAATTGTCGAATATGGTCATTCTATCTGCCCATCTGTCAAATAAAAGTTATCGAACAAAGGAAAATCAATAGTGAAATTTGTTGAATTAAAATTAAAAACTAAATAAATTAAGAAACCTTGCAGCCAGATTTTCAGATTCGAGAACACCTGAAAGCTGTAGAAGGTTTGTATCTTTCAAATCTGAAGTGCTGCGATCAAGAACTGAAACCGAATTTATTAATACTGATTTTTGGTTGTAGAGACATTAGCATTTTTTTGGAAGCAGGCAAGATGAAAAATTGGCAACCGCCCTCGCCGGGAATCGAACCACGGACCTCTGGAATACCGGCCCAGCCTGCAGAACCACTACACCACGAAGGACGCTAGGAAAGTGGAAAAAATACCTTATATACTCCCCTTTTTAAAGGGCGACTAGGGTTTTAGGGGACCTAGTCGCCAAATCCTGAGTGTGGAGAATCATCATCCACAACCCTTTTAGTTCGAGCGCCACTGTAGAGACATTAGGATTTTTTTGGAAGCAGGCAAGATGAAAAATTAGCAACCACCTTCGCCGGCAATCGAACCAGGGACCTCTGGAATACCAGCCCAACGTGCAGAACCACTACACCACGAAGGACGGTAGAAAGTGGGAAAAATACCTTATATGGTAAAAATAAATGTTTATTCTTGGAAATGTAAACTGAAGATTATTTCGTATTTACAGATATTATAATTTTTGGTTTGTTAACTATTGTCCATTAGTTTACAACTGGCCAAACAAATAAAGCTGCTACCTTTTTAGATATAATACAGCGAGGGAATCTTCTTCAGATTGTGGTACATGTACTGACAATCCTTATTTTGAGAAAAGGCGAATTCGCGTTTCTTTTCATGGGGAAAATAATGACACCTGATTCCCCATGTTAATAAACAAGTAAATACATAATTGAACAAGACTGGAAATTTCATACGATGTTCTTTACAGTCACTGTATTATTTCTTTGCAATTTGTTATTTTGACTGAGTTAACAATTAATCAATATATATATATATATATATATATATATATATATAAACCAACAGAAAATCAATTAATCAGCTTAAATTAATGAAATGAAGGCAAAACAAATTTGTCTAGGTAACATATTTATTTGATTTAAGGTTCAAGGTCACAGGTTAAAGTATGCGGGAGAAGAGCTATTTCAAATGTGAAATAGTGGTACAGTAGTAAAAGCTGTAGTCTCCACGATGTTGAATGCAAACGCGCATGCATTGTGTCGCACATGTATCGTATGTTATTTTGTAGGATGGAGTTCCATACATGTGGCATTTACTCAGCCAAATCACAAAGGTCCGCGCTGGTTGTAGTTGAAGCTGGATTTTCAGTCCAAATTATATGCCATACGTGCTCAATGGGAGAAAGATCGAGTGATCTGGGCAACATATCGTTTCTCTGTAGATCACATTGAGTGATAGCAGTAGTACGACCGTTTTTCTGTTGGAAAATGCTCCCTGAAATATTGCTCAAGAATAGCAGCACAGCTAGCGTCATTCTTGAGCAAATTCTTGCCATTCTTGTCACCAGGCTGATGTAAAATCTGCTGTCAAAAATTTGCGGAATAGCGACAAGAGTGCTCTTGCTGTCGCAAGAAATAGATCCCCAGATCATAATTTCTAGAGTAGGTTCAATGCGTCTACGCGGCAGATAGCTTGGTTCCAAGTGCTCTCCTGTTACTCCATCTAACCAATGTACGGCCGTCACTGTCACCAAGATGGAAAAACCGTCATCTGAAGAACACAAAAGATACCCACTCCGCTTTCCAGCAAGCTTTAGCTTGACACCACAGAAGACACAGATGGCGATCATTTGGAGTTAGTGGCGTATGTCTCGGAACTCAGGTAATCGATTTGTATAGTTCGCTATTTCACTCTGGTGCTAACATGCGCTGCGCCGCAGACATCCGGCGAATACCGGGTCTTCTCTTTGAGTCTTGGCACGTGTGCGACCAAATCCCCGTCTTCTTGGGACAATAACTTTTCGTGGACACTGCTGCCAACACGTAGTTAGTGAATAAATCCTTGCCAAGTCTTTCTACAATAGAAAATCCACCTTGTCGTAGCCCTATTACATGGCCTCGTTCAAACTCAGTACGGTGATGATCCTGCCTTCGTCTCCTTAAAGGCGTTATTGACTCAAATCTTGTCAGAAGTTTACATCGCGTATTTAAAGCAAACATGTTCCGCATGTTTGCTTTAAATACGCATGTTCATTCGATTCTGCATGTCCATAGTCGCGCTACTAGCGCCCCACTTATCAGTCTGGAGCGATATTTGAATACAAGTCATCTTTCAGATATGCAAACTCTAAATTTCGTTCATCTAGCACAACTCCTTTTTCGAGTTGAGATTTAAAAAATCTAAATTATGATATGTATACTTTTGCTGCAACACTAAGAAGTTGTTTTAGCTACATAAATCCGCTACTTAAATTATTCTTAGAGTATGCTTACTTTAATGGCACTAGTATGCTTACTTTAATGCTTAGAGTATGCTTACTTTAATGCTTACTTTAATGGCACTTCACCATTAGCGAGTTATCACCTAGACGTGAATCAGTTTGCATACAAACACCAATTCAAATTTCAGCAAAACTTTATTTACCCACGCTCATTAGGATACAAATAAAATATACAACTATGAAATCAACTACTTTTCGACAATATAGTTTAGTATCTAGGAAAACTGCTTTCTAATATTAAATTTACATAACTACAAAGCTTAAATATCATGCAATGGCAACACTTGGGCGGTTGCGTGGAAGATAAGTGCCCCAATAGTATAACGTAGAATAACGTAACATTATGCAACGGCCACAAAAATTTTACGCACTCTGCTATAGATATATCTAACGATAAAAAAATTAATATGTTTTAAGATTGATACTTATGTGTACATAATATGCATATATATGTATATGTGTGTATAGAAGTTTGTGTAAAATATTTAAGAGTTAGCTTCAAGCGGTATTATGTTTCATAAATGTATTATTTGTTGGAAAGTGTGCTTGATAAACAAACGTGATCATTTTGCTAAATGTAAGCATTTAAATAAGAATATTTCTTACTTACGATGAAACTTTGTTTCCATTTCAGGTCAAGCTACACTTTACCCGTATTTCACAGTTCACTTAAAATCTCTTGGTGTCAGCATCAAGCACACAGCCATAATTTTTGCAGTGCAGCCCATTATAGCTTTATTAGTAGCGCCGATGGTTGGAATGCTTGCAGATAAAATTGGGAATTTCAAACTGATTTTTAGCTTTTTCTTAACATTTTCAGCAATAACTTCTAATATGCTTTTGTTTGTTCCGGCTGTCCCTGCCCAAGAGAAGTTATTATATTTAAGTTTATCTTGCAAGTCTAACGCAGAGGCTGAGTTTCGATTCTTGACAGATAAATCTTGCAGTATAATACAAGAAGAAAGAAATTCCTACCTAAATATGACTCTAGAATTTCATTGTGAACAAAACTATCTTAGTAATACAGAAAAAGGCCAACCTTCTTTTTATCTGCAAAATGAAGAAAAGTGCCAGAATCACTGTAGCAATAGTAGCATTGATGGCTGCACTATTGTTGAAGAAGACTCTGCATTTTATTTTTTTCTAAATGCATCATATTTATTTAACACAGAGGATCAAGAGAGTCAGATAACACAGAGGTCAGAGAACATAAGTCAAAGATTACTCAATTCAGATGCTTATTTTATAAGCTACGAAAATAAGACTTACGATGCTTTGACATGTTCTTGTTTCTCATCCCAAAGAAATGGAACGTTATGCACATTTGTAAGTAAAGAGCCAGTGGAAAACTGTCTTACAGAGGAATATGAAGAATTTGGAATTACCTTCTGGACATATCTCAGCATTCGTCTCATCGTAACACTTGGAATCGGACTCGTTAATGGTCTCTTCGATGCTGCATCTATGGCAATAATTCAAAAGTTAAAAGCTGATGTTGGTTTCCAGAGGTTTTGGTCTACTGTGGCTATGTGTTTAATGGCTCCAATAAGTGGCTACTTTGTTGACGAATATGACACTTTCAAACCATGTTTTTTCATGTACGGAGCTTTGTATTTAATAGCTGCTTTTACATCTCTAAAATTAGATCTTAGTATGAAATTGCCTTCAGAAAATCCTCTCAGGAATCTAGCATTATTAATTCGTAACCCTGAAGTTATTTTGTTACTTATGCAGATAGCAGTGCTTGGTATCTGCTGGGGATTTTTAGAAAACTTTCTGTTTTGGTTTCTTGAAAGTGAACTCGAAGCAAATAACCTTATTATGGGACTTACTGTTACAGTTGGTAGCGGCACTGGATTATTCATGGCTCTAGTTGCAACATGGTTTACAAAAAAGCTCGGGTACGTTAATGTTATAATCGTCGCTTTTATTGCCTATACAGTAAGATTCTTCGGTTATGCACTAGCTATGGATGCCTACACCTGTCTCATCTTCGAGATGATGGAAAACTTTACCGTTACTCTGTTGACAGTTGGTGTAACTCTTTATTGTACTGAGCTGGCATCCCTTGAAATGCTCACTACAATTATGACCCTCTGGAATGGATTACACATAATATCAGGTATGTGCGAATACTTTATTCTGTCGTTTAAAAAAAGAAGAAAAAAGGAAATTTGTACTTTTTGTAAATTTTTAATACGAACGTTATTTTCGCCTCAAAAATGTTTATCAACATGTCCAAACTTTTACTAATGAATACTTGCTTCTGCGCTCTCAGAATGTTTCCTTACATAAGAATATTTTTGAAATAGATGTGTTAATTAGTTAGCTAATAATTACGGAAAATGATACAAGATGCTGAGTACGAAACAGTTGCCTTCATAAAGGACTGAAATAGTTAGCATGTATATAGTATTTGGAGGAAAATATAAAAATATACATGCAGTCTGGATAAGCTGAAGTACGATAATCACGCCGACAATAAGAGTAAGCACGGATAAGTTTCGCTATTGGGAATCGAATCTAGAATACAGTTTTCAGTGCTCTATTCTTTCAACCACATGGCCTCTGGTAAACTCAAAGAAGCGAATAAAAAATTATTTTTAACTGAAATTCTTTTAGAACTAAATTTCTTGGTTGGGTGGCAGTGAGCGCGTACGTGCAGAGTATAGTCATCTTAGCGTAAATGAAATTATCAAGCTCTACAGGTAGCAAATGTTACTCTTATCAAATACAAACACATTTACCGTATGCAATTGTTTTCAGGCCAGTTGGTTCGGTTGGTTTTACTTGATTATGGCTAAGCAATCGAGGGCAATCTGCTTAAAGGAAGGGATGCCTTCATGGATGATTTCTAATGGAAATTGGCTCTTACTGACTTTACACATGGAGAAAAACCACGAAAACGCCCATGTAGCCAGTCCGTTCGTTGAAATTTGAACCCCGAACCGAACTACCAATATTCAGCAGCTTTACCACTCGGCCGCTGAGAGCCCAGTGTAATTAGTGTAGTGTTTTTGGAGGCAACAACTGCACCAGTTAACCTAAGTAGTAATCCCAATTGAACCTTGAATGTATGTGATCGTAATGTTGAAGGCCTCATTACCATCCAGGGAACAAGACCTCCGGTTTATATTTAGATTTCAGGAAGAACCGGCTTATGTTTATATTTCAGGAAATCATCTTATAATAAGGTTTTTGCTCATAGGAACAAAGAAATTGGGCGTTGTAGCCTCCTTGAAAATGCTGTGTCACGGGACATTAACATTTCTTGATCTGGCCGGAGTCGCATCTATGCAGGGGGGAACACAAAGTCCGAAGATTCTTCAGTGTTGTTAATAGCAGGGAAACCGGCTGCAACAAGTCCATATTCTTTCGCGCAAACAACCGTTTCACCTAAATATTCCTTTGCACATACTGAAAAAGACTGGGACAGACTGGACTAGATTGGGAACAATTAGACTTCCCTCTGATATTTCTCTTTCACTCTCTGATATCCTTTCGACAAAGTTACTTCCAACTCCTTCCGAACAAAAATGTCATCGTTTTTACAACACCCTTTTCTTCCCTTGGTCTGAGGCTTGCTCTTTTCTTTTCTGTAGCAAGTAAGATACACTCTGCTTGGATTTTTACTACAATTTCATTGAACTAAATGTTTTGTATAACAATGTAAATATCAGATTTTTATATCAATTTATATGATTACTATTTAACTCCGTAAACATGTACAATGTTCTAAAATTTTAAATTATTTGACAACTACCTACTTATCTGAAGCAATTTTACGACTTAATGAAATAAATTAGTACTACGTGATGCTTGGTTAGCTCACCTGTTAATAATTTAAACATTGTATTATACTGATAAATACTCTAAAATGTTAAAGACGTTAACTCTCTATTGAAAGATATATTTTAACAGTATTTTCAGTTTAGCCGTATTCTTTGAGACAAGAGAAAATGAACTCCTACTTCTGATGATACACTTGAGGAGTTTTCCACTCGAATTCTGGATAATTACGATACAGCTGAATAGTTTCAGTTTTAAGGCAATTTATTGTTACAGCGTTATTGATCAGGTGACTCGAGAATTACGATTTGAATTGGTTATATAATCAAGTAGTTATTATGTTACTTTCAAATATTAATTTAAATAGAAAAAATTTCTTACAGGAAAATTCTTACTAAGAACACTGTAGTGACCTCCCGTTAGATCATGATAGAAGCTTTGGCGACCACTGTTATCATTATTACTTAACAGAGTCTGAAGAGACAAACATTTCTATGCGTATTTAAGCGATAAAGGATTACTACGATAATATTTGACAAAACGAATGAGAACCTGATTCGATATTTAAATTAAAACTGAATTTTAATTCTGGTATCATATTTTTGACTTGATCTTTGAAAAGGATTGGGCGTTTCATTTATTGCATGGCACACGAAAGCTGTCATTCTAAGGAGAGATGTCTTCATAAAATGCTTTTTACCAGAAACCGATTCAAGTTTGAGTTATACATACAGAAAGTACCGAGTGTTTTCCTTTAGAAAAAAATTACTTTGCATGAAGATATGCAAATTTTTATAAAGCAAGCATTTTAAACATTTTAAATTTAATTTAGGCAGATGAAAAGAATTTCTTAGCATATTGCTTTGCACAATCAAATGGTTAATTTTTCCTCAATAAGTATTTAAAACCTCATTCTCGAAATGTTAGTCTGCGTTAATCGTGTTCGACATTATAAAGAATGAAGACGCGATTCGAACATAATGTCTTGTTATTGCAAAAACATAAGTACATATGGAAGTTTAATTCATGAAAAAATAATGATGTCTTTACCCTTATTTAATTATAAGCGCTTTTTTATTATTCTTTGTGATACAAAATTATGTAGAGTAAGTAAATAAATAAATATATGAATTAATATTAAAATTTGTGTTAAAAGGTTTAAGGTATTTATACTAAAAATATATTTTTAATTATAATTCAAATAAAGTTTAGTAAAGAAACACAAATTCAAGTAAAACTTGTAAAACTTGAAAAATGAATACGCAAAGATTTGACACGAAGCTAACAAAAAACAAAGCTTTATTTACATTATACTGACACGGTTACTTTTTGGTACCTATGCTTCTAAATCAGTGCAATAACTAACAATATCGATGTAATTCTTGTAACGAAATTTCGTTGCCTAATAATTTTTCATTTAACATTTTAAAGCGTTTCTTTTAATATTCTGAATTTCAGTTTAGTCTGCGCTGTACTATTGCCACAAATTAGCATCAGCATCATATAGCTTTATTTTCCGATTGCTCTTGCATTAGAAGCTTTATCAGTGTATATGTTCTTAAATGGTTGTACAGAACCACCCTTCACTAAATGTTAATTTCTGGAACGATAGAGGCAGCCAGACTAACTTTCGCCTCGTCTCAACTTCTCAGTTAATTAACACCAGGTTAGAAGAAAATTTAATATAACCCTTTTTTACTAAAAAGACAGCCTGACAATTATACAACCTGTGTAATAGCAGAAAACATATTTGTAACAATATTAGATATAACTGTAATTAATAAAAACGTTTCCTATGCCATATATTACGTAGTTTAGAAGAATCCTTTGCGCTATGTCTTAATGAAAATTCTTAATGGTAAAATTTTCTAAAACAAATTATAGACAGTGAAATATATATAATGAGAATCATTATATATATATATATAGAATGAGAATCATCAGATGCTCATTAAATTATTTTTAATGCTAACTATCACCCTAAGGAGGTGAATTGGAATGGCATTGCATTGGAAACAATGCACAAGTTTCATTAAGCCACTTTGAAGTAGATAATTTTGTAATTCTAATGCCTCAAGAACAGATAGACAATTTTCTTGCAGAAGAAAAAAGCATCAGTAACTTTATCCATCTTAAAACTTGTCTAAATAACTGTGTAAAATTAGCTATGTATAACTATATGTTTCTTAAGCACTAATTTAACTGTAGAGGCGAAACTTTAATTACTTTGACGTCAATGGAATCCTTCTCTTCAAATTTCTGTCCTTAGAAGAAGAATAAATGAATAGGTCAATAACTGCGAGAAAATGATTCCTCCTTTAAACAAGAAATACAATAAAATACTGTGAACGCTCAGTTTTGAAACTGATATTTTCAGTCTTCTAATTTTAGCTTATTTTTAATTGTTTTGTTTGATCTGATTTTCCTATATGGTGCTCAAAATGTAACGTACGTAATGTTCAAAATGTAACGTACAGTTCGTAAATGTAACGAATCAGACTTTGAATCAGAATGCATTAAAAAATAATATACCAATAATTTTAGATATGCATATAAGGTAGTGATCTGAAAAGCAGTTATAGGTTAGGGAAATAAACAAATGAAAGGATAGACACAGATAGGGATTACTCCAATTCCTCCCCCCCCTCCACACACACATATGGCACTTTAGGAGAACAGTGGTGGAACTGGAAGAAAGTACTCTCACCCGCAGGTTGACAAGGAGGAAAGAGAATTGCTATCTTCCCTAAAGTATTCTTCTTTAAGAAAACTGTGCTGTATACACTTGAAAATTGCGCAACAAATTTCGAATTTATATAATCCTTTAACGAGTTAAAGATCTCAAATGGACAGTTGAGGACTGTCCGTTGTAAATTTTTTTGTAACAAATATATTCATAAAAAAAATTAACGCATTAGGTGACAGAATAGGCATACCAGAAAGCATGCTTTCGGTAATAGCGTCAAACAAAGAAGCTGTAGTTCTAGTTAGCACTTTAGGCAGATAGCCCTCGTGTGCTTTGCCATAATTAAATAATCCAATCCAATCCAATCTAGTTAGCAAGTGTATTGCATGCTTTAATTATTTATTGTTTATTGTCCACCAAGTTTGCGATGAGACTTTTGTCTGTGCTTTGTTGTACTAAGTTATGTACGTAGCTGGACCCCCCCCCCAAAAAAAAAAGGTTACAAGCATCAGCAATTGAAAAGCAATTATTGTGTTTTGAAGGGAATACTTTTTCTCCTATGGTGTTCACAGATGGCACTAGTTGTCTAGTAGCGGTTGTGCAAGTACGTAGAGTAAGTTCTCAGACTCATCAGATCGACTGAAATAACAAGGGGTTTTAAAAATGCTCTCGCTTTGAGGTGCAAGCCTTGATTAGTTATCCTGATCGACTATCTGGAGCGTAGTTTCGATCGTTATTGAAGACCAGATTACGTGAAGTAATAATTTGATGCAAGCGTCTTGCAAGAGGATGATACCTGGTGAAAGTATCATCTTCCTGCATGATAATGCTCGGCCCCGTACTACTTGCCAAACTCAAGACCTGATGCAAAAGTTTATGTAGAAAGTCTAGAGTCCCTCTCCCTATATAGCTTAGATTCAACATGCAGTGACTATTCACTTTTTCCAAAAGTGAAAGCATATTCATCTGGAATGAGGTTCTCTAGACGTGATGTGAAAACAGCTACCGAGAACTGGCTCAATAGGTAGGGACGTGATTTCTACCAAGCCGGGTTAAATAAGTCGGTTCAGCGTTCAGATAAATGCCTAAATAGGTTTGATTATGTGGAAAAATTATAGGCAAGTATGCCTCTTAATTTCCTCATGTATTTTCGGTCTATAGTTAATACGTAATTTTTATTAAACCTGTAACCATTTTTTGGATCCATCCTAGTAGTTTTTCGTTTGATTTGTATACTGTGAGCATCCACTAAGGAAAAGCTGCGTCTCATATCATACGTTGTAGATTTGCTTCTGCTTGTGAACGATGTGACATAATACAGCAGCAAGAAATAGTTTAAGCATCATTTTTATAATATTTTAAATACTTTTCTTCCAGAATGACTTATCAAGAAATTGTTATATCGAATGAAGAATATGAGTTAATATTCAAGAAGGAATTATTTTTTGTTCTAAGATAACATCTTTATATTGTCTGAAGTATGTATTGTAACACAGACTTTTCCCAGATATAAAAGATTAGTGTAGTTTTTAAACCAATATAATTATTATTAAATTAAGACATTTTATGTTAGTTAACCAGTTTTTATAATTTGATCTTTATTATAACTTCTCCTTTTCGTTAGTCTTCACCAGGATGCAAAATATTAAGATTTCTTAAGGCGAGAGTTTTTAATGATTTAGGTAAGTAGCTTTCGGCAGCGATATCTGCAGCTTTGCTTTCTATCGCCCAGCTTTTTCAGGTAATATTCCAGCATTAGCACTTGCTTAGCCGAAGTTAAAACGCACAATTTAAGTTTTGAGCCAAGATTAATTTTGTCTTTGTGTACTCTCCGGCTGCGATCTTTTTTAATTGTAAATTAAATTTCGTGTTATTTTAAATACTCGCAAGTAGAGAAGTTTTGACTGTAAAAAGAGCTTGGACCTTCTATTTAAATTCTAACTTAAATTAAAAAGGGTTTATTTAAAACCTTCATAAGGCTTTGGCATGCATTGTTAGATGCAGCGATAGCTAGCTTGGTAGTTTAATAGGTTCTGAAGGACTTTGAGTTAATACTGCACAGTTAGGACCCTATTAACTGTTTACAAGATAATAATTTCAACAAATCTTTTCTTTCTGCACTTGTAAAATTTACAGAACACACTTTAAAATCAACACCATAGCGACAAATTGCGTCAACGTTATTCTGTGAGTTTCTTAGGAATCAGAGAAGAATATTAAAGGTATTACAGGGAGTAATCCTGACCTGTCATAAGAATTAATACTTACGCCTTACTGAGCCGCGAAATATTAATCGTTCTCCATAGACTATCTTCCCAGGAATGAAATACGTAGGTTGCGTGATATTATCATGGTGTTCTCAGTTACATAAAAATGTGCGAGTTCTTTAGAAATGTCCCCCACGAAAGCATTCGTTCTCACAAAAAAAGTAGTTCTAATGTATTTTGTTGAATATCTAATCTTAACTAAGATCATCCATATCACCTATGAATAAATACTTCGAATGATTCGCACTGAATGCATGAATATGGCTCAAAAATTCATTCTTGGGGAGGGGGGTAAACGTATGGCACTAGCGTTTCATTTGTGATTTAGAGGCTTAATCATTTCTTCTGGTTCCTTGTTAAAATGTTATGTTCAATACCATGTTATCAATATATTTTAAGAGAAACATAAGTTAAGTGAGCAATAATAGTTTGATAATTTTAGCTTAAAAGTTTAAGTTTTCTGATCCTTGATATAAAGAATATATCACATGATGATAAGCCTAGATTCAAAACTGTGGAGAAATTATGCTGAGTATTCTATGCCTAACTTCTAAAAGTATAATTATGTCTAAATTTCATTAATCACAGTAAATTGATTAAAAGGAAGAAATAATTTTAAATAATTGTAAATTAATAATGCTTTGAGACAAAATTTTTCTTTCAGTTTTAAGTAGAAAATACGGAAAGAGTTGAATATACATACTGGAGTTTTGAAACATTCAGCTTCATGTAAGACATAATGAGTTAAATAATCTTTTGGTGCTATACACCAAAAACAATTTTTCAAGTCCTGTTTTTAATGACAGAACAAAGTATGAATGCATCGTGAAAGGATAAAAATTTGAAAAAATTTGCGCTTCTAGTCAGATTGTTCAGTCATGATGAAATATGTTATGAGGGGTCAGAAGACAAACTTGAAGAAATGATTAAAACTGAATACCAATCGCTATGTGTTTATTGAAGAAAAGTAGGTAAAGAACCTTTACATATTTGTATAATGTACAGTAGCCCTCGTGGCAATGCATGGATAGATTTATTATTGGATTATCTCGTATTCTTGTGGAATATTATCTCCCGGAATTTGCTGCCATACTTTCCCTAATTGTTCAAGAATTCACATTGAAAAGTAGCTTTAACCAGCATTCTAGTGTGTTCCATACACATTTGATTGGGGAAACGTCTGAAGATTTGGGAGATCAGGTAAGGATATGACACGGTTGAGATATTCTGTAGCGGTGTTTGTTACGTACAAATGCATATAATCCTTGTAACTCTAGCACATAAATAAATTTTTAAACGTATAGTTACGCCTAATGGTGCTTCACGAAGAACTACTGCCTAAATTTCGACGAATTAGCGTCCTGACTACACTGAACTTACGCAAGAACAGGATAAAATTTCACAAACATTTCTGAGCATTCGGGATTCGTTACAACTAAAGCAAGAATTTACAAAATTAAAACGTAGACTACTTAAAGATAGTAACTGATATCAAGTAAGTGATCAGCTTTCAAATATACAAGCACTAAAATAAAATATACTAAAAAAACAAGACACATTTATATTTATTTTAATTTAGTTACAGTTTTAATTAATTATTGTAGAAGGAATTTTTTAACAACCTAAGAAAGCAATGAGCTCTACGTGGCTTCAGACTAATATTAATTTTCAGATGCAGCTAGCTAGACCAGAAATGGAAATCATAAACACATATAGTATTTTCATGCCTAGTTGCGAGAAGAGTCGCATAACTCTTTGCAGCAAGATTGACAGCTAAAAATCTCTACAGTAAAATTGATCGAGTATCTCAGACAATGGTTGTACAGACGGTAACGTAAGGTGCGATGGACATATTTTACTTCGCAGTGGTATAACAGGTCAGGCATTCGATAGGTCTTCTCCGTACACAAATCCATCTGTCATTCGAGTCATAAAAGAAAACGGTGATTAATCGCAAAATACGATATAGTATAAATTCAATCTGAAGCTTTCTGTCGATGTCTAATAATTAGTCTTTGAGATCTCAACAGATAACGACATGTGAGAGCAGACTTTGTAAATATTTACTACAGTGTTTCGTGACACTGTACGTCCAGATGTTCGTAATTTGCTGCATACGACAGATATCGAAAATATAGGTGCGCTTATAAGAGATCACCCTGACATGCGATCCTCCAAGGAATTTTTCTATAGTAGTCTTCTGTTATCTTTACGTCTTGTTGGAGCCAATGGTAACAACATCGTCTGATAGAATCAAAGCTCTTGCTGTCTGACCATAAGATCTGGCTGTAAGTCCCGCCAACTTTCCTAATGGCGTTGATGCGATATTTATCAAATTCACTGAATTACGGTTGTAGCGGGGGGGGGAAGAGGTTAGTAAGTATTCTCCTTTGCTAATGGAAACAATGCAATCGCATAACTATTTCGAATTGGCACAGCTGCCAACAGTGTAGAGAATAAGCGCACATCAAAGTGTGATGCTGATATCAGAAAGCTGTGTGTCACCTCTCTAACCCTGCGTTGTGAGTGTGGGATAAGAGATGTATATGTGAATTCGCGGAGTGATATAAAAGATACAGGAGAAGAATCTTCTATTCTCTTTTAGAGCGCTGATTAAGCGTTGTTTTCTGATAATAGCTTAAGAGTTACAGTCGTCTCTCCATCATATCCTTAATGTGCTTAATGAAGTTTCGTTCTGGGAAGCATGCAATCTAATCCCTTCGACAATTATTTTTAGTCTGTAGGAGATTTTACACAGCTTTGGTTCGATGAAGCCTGACAGTATCTTTTTATAATAGTAAATGCTTTATCAATGACACACAAAACAAGTGAACAAGTGGTTCACTATAGCTACCACACTGTGGTTGTCTATAATCTGTAGTTCAGCACGTGCATCAATTATGATACTGGTGCGCATCATCCCACTTCCAACATCATAACGATACCTTTCTTATACACACTTTCTTACTGGTGTGCCTCATCACTTTCACGCCAAATTGAGAAACATCTGGAATCGATTCTAAACTTCTCTGCAGTTTGGTGACTGTGGTCTCTTCTTACAGTTTTCTCGTTAATTAACTGCCGCATGTAAAATCGTCGACAATTTTATAGATTTCTTCATCTTCTAGAGACAAGGAAAATATCACATTTTTGTAGATTTATTCTTTGATAATCATAATTACTGATTTAGTCGATAGACTTATTTAGCTGATAATACTAATTTTCTCTTCTGTTTTACGCCAAATCTAACTAAAAGAATCTAAAATCTCATAGTCACCAGCTTTCTATACAAACCACATACATTACCTATACAAGTTAATGTATGTGATCTATATAGTTAATGTCTTACATACATTAACTATACAAATCACAACAAGTTGATTCATCGGATTTTGCTGCGACAGCTTTGCATAATAATAACAACCATAAATTTTAGTCACGTGTGTATTATTTTTAATAAAGTTAATGGAACTCTTGTTACTGTTACAATACCTTTCACCTCATGCTTCAGAAGTGTACCAATAAACCGTGAAACATAACTTTGCGAATTTATATACGAAAATCGATATGAACTATAACCAAAAATAGAAATGCGCAAAAATAAAAAGTAAGAAATGAAAATTTCGCATGTAATTCGCAATAAATAAATAAAAATAAATAAATTAAACTAAAATAAATTTTTAGAATGTTCTCTAATCAGATAAGCTACTGAAATAATGTGAGAAAAGATTATTGAAGGCTAACATAGCTGTTCTCAAAATTCTGTTTCTTGAGTCTTTTATCAACCATCTGTTACTACAATGTTATAGCTCGTAAAATGTCTCTCAGCATCCGCGACTATGAAGTTTGTTTTGGTCTATTTGATTATGGCAAAACATTCGAAGGATATCTGCCTAAGGGGAAGGATGCCTTCATGGAGGGTTTTCTGTTCTATTTGCACAGTATTTTCTATGCTAATGCTAAGATTTCATATTTTAAAGTTATATGTAAAGCACGTATAGCTCACCTCCATGTCCATAATATTAACCAATACTGCCTGGTGGATTCAGTGAGTTACGCATGTATCAATTAAGATGCAGTTATTTTTGTAGGGTAGAGTTCATAGATAGCTCATAGATAAATTCATTTTATCTTACACTCAGAATAGCCATCTCAAGAGACTTTAAATTACCTGAATGACTCTAGAGGATGTGAAAGGATATCTAATTACAGGGCAATTAAGTGAACTG